CTTGAATTCTCCATGCATGCCTCTTTTTCTCATTATTAAAACTCCTGGAAACACAGCCCTACCCAACACTGCCAAGCCTCAGAGGCAGCAGCTAATATTTTTTAAAGATGTGTAGGAATAGTTTTTAAAGTAAAAAAATGTAGTGAGTATTCAGCCTCAGTAGCAAGCATTTATTTTTCAAACTTCCCACTTTTCTTATATAAGATAGATCACAGGACTCAAGATAAGGTGCCAGTAAGTAACCTCGGGCCATTTCTACTCGGGAGGCATTATGGTCCTACATAGCACATGTTCACCAAGAGCAGGGCCCACCCGGTCCTCAACACTATACCATAACCACAGAACAAGGGAGGGAGGAAAGGATGAATTGTGTAGAAGCAACCGCTAACCCCTGGGCTGTGGCTTGCTGCCCCCTGCCTTCTTCACCCTCCACCACAAGCAGAGAAGGAAAAGGAAGGCTTTCCAGGAACAGCCAGCCAAACTCACTGGGCTGGAGCAAGCAGGTTCCTACTCTTCTAACTTGGGCTCATTTTTCATGCTCCATTGGGCTTGCCCCCTCCCAGTAGATCTATGGGGGGGCCTTTTACCTCTTTCACCCCCTCTGCTACCAAGAACTCTATGCCTTCCCTCTGATGTAGAGCTTCAAGACCATTTCCATGAAGTGGGATTACTTAAGGGTCCTTCTGCTCAGATAGCTCTTTCCATCTCTTCTGAGGCAAAAGGGGTTTCATCTAATTCCAGGATGTCTCATTGGTGGCTATTCACCTAGAATTTAATCGGACAAGCTGAGAGATTTGCTCATTCCACATGAGGGTCTTCCTAGAGAAGATGCTAATAGAGCAGCCTTCAGCTGGACTGAGAGCCAACTGTCTGGATTCAAGTTCCAGCTCAAACTTATTAGTCACAGGACATTGTACAAATTGTTAACCAAATTGAGTCTTGGCTTCCTTGTTTGTAAAATGGAGATGATGGTAACCATAATAATACCCACCTCATAGAATTGTCTTATTAAAACAAAATTAACTAGCAAGCCCTTGATAAACATCAGTCTGTGTCCCGGGACTGTTGTGTCTGAAACTGATGAGGATAAGTTCTTCAGGCTCACTGTTGGAGGCCCAGTTTGAATTCTCTGATGCATGCCTTGGACCTCAGAGGATGGAGAAAATCCAAACCTCAGAATGAAATTCACAAGCCTTGCTCTGATAGTGAGGTCCTCCACAATCTACTCCCATCCTTCTTTCCAAGTAGACTCCTGCTGTATGTCTACACCATTGAAAGGTCATCCATCCATTAAAAAAAAAAAAAGTCAAGCACTAAACATCAAGTACATGGCAGGCATGGTTCTCCATCTGGTCATCCCAGAGTCTTTCTCGTCCTGGACAGTCTATCCTGAGGACAGAGCTGAAGACTAGAGCTTCCACAAAGCCCTTGCTTCTCAAGTCCACAAGGGCTTCCTCTTCTGACCCCTCTGAGGTCTTCTGGGTTTTACTTGGCATTTGTCCTACATTGATTATTTTTTATATAGTCATATTTTACAAACATAATTAAATGTACAAGCAACTCAGGGATAAATTTACATTTCTTTGTGTATTCCTAAAAGTCTAGTACTGTGTTTGTTTGCATTTAGCAAGGACTCGGTGATAAGTGATTTCTCGTTGTTGTTGTTGTTGTTGTTGTTGTTGTTGTTGTTGCTGGGTATTGAATTCAGGGCCTTGTGCTTACAAGGTAAGCACTCTACCAACTGAGCTATATCCCCAGCCGGATAAGTGATTTCTTAATGTTTCAAGAGGACATAGACGGCTCAAGCAAACCCATTATCATTCTTTCAAAACAAATACCCTTCAGATCAATACTTTCCTATAGTATAGAAGTTTAAAGGCTCAGCCAGGCATAGTGGTGAATGCTTGTAATCCCAGCAGCTTGGGAGGCTGAGGCAGGAGAATCACAAGTTCAAAGCCAGCCTCAGCAACTTACTAAGACCCTATCTCAAAATAAAAAAGAGCTAAGGAGGGCAGGGTGTATAGCTCAGTGATAGAGTGCTTACCTAGCACGCATAAGGTACTGGGTTCGATTCTCAGCACCACATATAACTAAGTAAAATAAAAGTCCATTGACAACTAAAAGAAGAAGGAGAAGAAGAAGAAGAAGAAGAAAAAGAAAAAAATTGTAAATAAATATATATATGGCTAAGGATGTGAGCACCCCTGGATTTAATTCCCAGTATCTGAAAAAATAAAAGTTTTAATGGCTCAATTTCCAGACCTAGACTTATTAGGTTTATGGTTAACTCTGTCACTTACTAGCTGTGTGACCTTGAGGATGTTACTTAACCCCTCTGTACTTCAGTGTCCTCATCTATAAACAAGATAACCAAACTACCTACACTTCTTAGGGTATTATAAGGATGAAATTAGATAAAGCACTTTGAATGGGGCCTGGCACACAGTAAATATTCTTTAAATATTTATTATGATTATTACTATCTTCTTTTTTTTACCTTAATAAATTTATTTATTTTGTGTGTATGTGTGTGTTTAAAAAGTTTTTATTATATAAGCAAATTTTATAATATACTCTTAAAATCAAAATTGGATAATTCTTTTTTTTCCCTTCCTTTTTTTTATTTTTTTTTATTTTTTTTAATTTTTATTGTTGGTTGTTCAAAATATTACATAGTTCTTGATATATCATATTTCACACTTTGATTCAAGTGGGTTATGAAGTTCAACTCATGCATAATGCCCCCAAAAATATAGTATGCAGCACCCACATAGAAAGCTACTAGGTATAGGCATATAAAAACATTTTCCCCTACTTCTTTATTCATTTGGCCTATTAGGTTATACCACAATAACAACCAACAAATTCTACCTTAAAGACTTCCCTATCTCTGTGCTATTTATCAGTTATCTTGTGCTGTCAAAAAAAAAAAAATCTACAATGCCACTGTCCCTTTCACTTCTGGAAAGCTTTAAGCATGCATACAACTCAAAAAAATAAATATATATGTATATATGTATATATATATATATATATATACATATATATATATATATATATATCTCCCCACCATGGCTTGAAAGAAGAAGGAAGGTGTTAAGCAAAACTGATGTGCTACTAAAAACATCAAGGCTATACAGGGCCATCAACCTCACCACATTCCCAAGAAAGACCTTCTTCAGTGTGTTTGTTAGTCTGACCCAGGCATTGATGAAAGCAGAAAGCCCTGCTCAGAGCCACCAAAGGTGGTTTTGAACCTTGTCATCATAGCATGATGTTTCTCTTTCTCTCTCTCTTACTCTTACTCTCCTCTCTTGCTACTACTTTTCAATGTGATTTTAATTAAGATCCATTTTAATGCACAGGCCAAAAGGCAAATAACTCTTCAATAATGAGACAAAACGAAACTGCTGACAGAAAATAACAGAAGAATGGGCAGTTCAAATTCACACACTGGCATTCAAAAGGAAACCCAAAACCATGCAACTTTCTTTCAAAGGATGTGCAATGATATTCTGCTTTCCATCCTCATAAACCAATTTCTCCCAACTGACTTCCACTCAGCCTTCCTACATACCACCCCTGGTCTGAGGCTATGGGGATCCCTCAGGGTGGAATGGTTCCCTCAGTACAACACCCAGGTTAAGAGCACAGATGTAAAACCCTCCACTTCCCAGGTTTGTCACACTGAAAGTTATCTAACCTCTCCATATCTCAATTCATCACCTATAAAGTGGCAAAAGTAATTATTTTCAACTCAGAGTTGTGATTATCTAAGCTCATTAAATAAAAAATATCCTTATTCATTTTTATACTCTATAATTGTTCAGCCCAGTGGCTGCCTGTAGTGTATATTCAATAAGTGGTAACTATTACCCTCTCCATCTGTACCCGCAAGTCAACAGCCAAAACCAAGGGACTAATCATTTTTCAAGTCAATGCTTTTCTTGTTGAGACCTGCCAGTTTCCAAAACTGATCCAACAAATTAGTTTATGTGGCCATTAGGGAAAAGACACAGAGCAAATTACAACAAATGGAGTAAATCAAGCTTCCAAATTTATTAAGCAACCCTGACATGGAACACTAAGATGTTGGTGTGGAGGATTGATAACTCTTACTTAAGGAACAACATTCCAAACTATCATTTGCTTATTCTCAGCTCCAACCTAATACTCTGATGGTCTCCAAAAAATACATGCATTTCTCTACTTTTTTAAAAAAAATTATTTATGCTTTTTGTAGCTCTAAGATTGAAACCCAGAGCCTCACACCTGCTAGGCAAGTCAGTGAGCAATATCCCCAGCCTCTTCCTCTACTTTTCAAAAAGTTACATATTAAAATATCTGAAATACACAAAATTAGCCAGGCAAATCTGTAATCCCAGTGGCTCAGGAGGCTGAGACAAGAGGAACTCAAGTTCAAAGCCAGCCTCTGCAAAATAGCAAGACCCTAAGTAACTCAGTGAAACCCTGTCTAAAAATAAAAAATAAAAAGGGCTGGGGATGTGGCTCAGTGGTAAAATGCCTCTGGGTTAAATCCCCAGAACCAAACTATCTATCCATCTACCTATCTATATGAAATAGACAAAATTAAATACCTTCCAAGCATCCCATCCCAAAAGCATCTCTATCCAGAAGGCATATTTACTTTGTAATAGAGAAAATAATAAAAAGTGTCTTTCTTGACATTTTTAGAGACAGCAATGTAAGTATAATATATCCATGTAAAAAAAATTAAAGTATGCTAATCATTAGCATATTTTTTCTCTACTTGCCTAAACAAGGTTAGGAAGTATCTGTATTAGTGACATTGGAATGCCTAGTCTAGGCAAACATGTTAGATGTACTGTGGTCAAACATTTTATTTACTTAAAGAACCTAAATATTCAAGTTTTACATGAACATCAGCATGGTGCAAATTCTTCTAAACTGAAGAGATTAAAGAAAAAAATATATCCAAAAGAATATAATGACTATTCAATTTATATGACACAACTCACCTGCAGTGACTAAACAGGAGCTCATCAGGGTAAACATGGCGATCATATAATGGGATGTCATTTTTATTTCTCCAACAGTAGAAATAAACTGCAGCCTATAGTTCTTCAGGTCACAGACAATCTTTGTAAATCAGGAATGGCCTTAAAAGCCCTCTTTGCAATGTTCAAATTGCCTGTAAAAAAAATAAATAATTTTCAATAAGAGAACATAGTACAGAAAATTCTTTTCATAAACAAACACACATTAAAGTTAAATTGGCCAGGCACAGTGCACACGCCTATAATCCCAAGGGCTCAGGAGGCTGAGGCAGGAGGACAGAGAGTTCAAAGCCAGCCTCAGCAAAAGCAAGGTGCTAAGCAACCCAGTGAGACCCTGTCTCTAGACAAAACATAAAATAGGGCTGGGGATGTGGCTCAGGGGTGAACTGCCCATGAGGTCAATCCTAGTACCAAAAAAAAAAAAAAAAAAAGTTAAATCAAGAATTTCTGAAAGGTGTCAAAGAAAAAAAATCTGTCTTAAAAAAATGATAGACTAGTACTGAAGCAAACTAGGATAGAAGTGGTGATAACCAAATTAAGATTTTTATAGCAAATACTTTAGTAATTGACATGATTATTTTAACACTTTTAAATCTTTGGGTTTAAGATTGTTTTTACCCATAATCTCTCTATGTTGCCCAGGCTAGTCTCAAACTCCCGAGCTCATGCAATCCTTCCACCTCAACCTCCTGAGTAGCTAGGACTACAGGCACATACCTCCACAACCAGATAAATCACGACAATAGAAGAAAATCGAAATGCACCTGTAACACCACCAGTTACATTGTGGTACAATAAACAATGACATGAAACATGCTTTCTCTAGTGCCAGGACACACACACAAAAAAATAGCTCTGATTAGAGACTCATTCTAATGTTATAATGACAGGGTTATCACAGGCATCAAATTAAATTACACTGAGAATCAATCTGAAAAAACAAAGAACCATAAAAAAGGCAAAGCTCTTATTCCATCTGTGTGCTGACATTCTAGCAGATGCCTCCCCTGCCTTTCAGCCCTATCTGGACTAGATGATCCAGAAGATCCTTTCTAACCTTTTCCTATCCAGAGACTAATCAGAATCTGCTGGTAGTTTGCTCAACCTGAATATTCCTCCCATGGCTGCTTTACCTCATAAAGACACTTCAAAGTAGGATTTCCAGCCTTATATCCCTGAGCTGCTACAACTCCCGGAAGTTGTTCAATTCAACAAATATGTATTGAGCACCTACTATGTACTAAACATGGTTTCTTCTCATCAGCAATAAAAGTTATCCAACAACTGGATAAAAGTTCAAATAATCTGCTTGATCTAAACCCTGGGCAAAGCAGGATGGGGTTTTCCAGAAATCTCTGATACAAAGAAGGGTTGCAACCTTGTCATCCTCACCCAGGAGATGCTATCCACAGAATGAGTTTCTATTTAAGTGATCTTTGTTCATCAAATGTTAACAGAAAGAAATTTAAAATGGCTCTTCGAGGCTGAAAGTGTAGGTCAATGGCAAAGCACTTGTCTGGCATGAGTGAGTTCCGGGTTTGATCCCCAGCACCACAAAAAATGAATAAATAAAATGGGTCTTCACGGTTGTAACACTAAATGCCTGTGTGAAAAAGGAAAATTGGGTGTTAGGGGACACAGATAAGAGGAAGCAGGTTCTGGGTTTTGTAATGATACAAAATATGTGAATATTACCTATCTGGAAACAGTAACAATAAAATTGTAACTTCAAAAATAATTTTTTAGATATGCCTTAAGAATAAATTATTATATATGGTTCAATCTTGGTATATGGTGGAAATTAAAAGCCTAGTATAGAAAAAGAAAAGCCTAGTATGAATAAAAATATGGGTTACGGTGGCAGTTAAAAATCTGCCCAGCTGTGAATCCACCCTGCCACCTACCAATGAGTGATGAGTGATGTCAGGCAGATTACTTTACATGAATGAACCTATCATGTGGTAGGATATGGTAAGTGAGGATTCAGTAAGTACAAATGATGCTTTGAAAAGTGCCTAACACATAAAAAAAATACACAATCAGTAAATATTAGCTAATATTCTCATTAGGTAGTTTATTCTCTTTAAGGCAGTTAAACTGATAAAATGGAAAGATCATGGTACGGTCATTTATGTAAGTCTTAGCTGCTGACAAACCAGTTCAATCAATCATTTGTTTCCTGAAAAATAAATGCAACAGACCAAAAGAGGAGATAAGTAAAGAGCCGTATCACTGAGAGAATAAAGTTGCCAGTGAAGTTCAGGTACAAGTCATTGATGACACAATGGTCTTGTCTCAATGCCAACTAAACTATACGGCTCATTTGGAAGCCATAAAATAGACCCTTGAAACCCAACATTTCTGTCACTGTATTTCCACCTCAGACAAAAAAGGAAATCTTCTGTTAACAATTTGACAACAATAGGGAAATCTATACTTTCCCTTCAAGAAATCAGATTTCCTGAGTGGATTGATAAGGAGAAAACTCTCTGAAAGAATATGCTATTTCAGAAAATGCTAAGGGCCATTTTTATAAAGCAAAACCCTCCAAGGAGATCCCAGAAGAAGATGGCTTCCCAGAGGACTTTTATGGGGCACATAAACCATAAGCAGCACAAGTCTAGAGGGAATATTTAATGAGCATGTGTCACCCCTGCCCACAGCCACAGAGGGTCTGTGGGGCTGAAGCCCATTAATCCAGGGGCTTAAACCAGTTTTGCACAAATCTGTGGAAAGAAAGGCAAATGGTTCTATTAAAAATATAGACTGCAAATTGCTGACAAGAATATTGGGCAATTATTAAAATGCAGCAATTACAGATATAATAAAGCCAAGCTAAACAATTTGATGCCCAAAGGCAAACCACAGCAAGTTTACACCGGATCCTAAAACATCTCCGAGGAAGTCCCAGACAAGTTGAAACTACACACTGCTGTTTCTAACAAAGAGAGAGCTTTCCTTCTTTTAGCATAAAAGTCCCTTCATAATGTAACTTGTTCAAAAAGAAAATAAACTGCAGGGGGTTTTCGGTCTAATCTTCAAAGACAGGATCCTAAGGCAGAGGAGAATGGAAAAGGAAGCATGAGGTTCCCATTCAGCCCAACTTCAGTGTGGGCCAACACCTGCACACACCAGTACCTCGACCCACAAACCAGGGATCTGTTCCCCTAGTTAGAAGAATGTGGGTGACTCTGGGCCTCCAATAAGTGGTGGCTTTGCAATAAACCCAGGGAACATGAGCTCCTCTTTTCTGTGAGGTTCTGTCACATTAACTTCACAAAGACCAAAGACTTCAGGCCCTGGTTTTTTGACTTCACTGAATCTCTTTGGACTTTATGAACTCCATGCTGCCTTTCAAAAAAATAGATAGGTCCTCTGAGATCCTGAAAGAACGACTGGGGGTAGAATAATCACTTTGTCCACATTTCAAAGCAATGTGTTCCATTCAAGGGGTATGAGAACATGGAGTATTCATAAACTAAGAGAATAAAATTCTGAAAAAGAACTTCATGAATTAAAAAAGAACGTGCTACTAATTTTGCTAATTTCAAGAGTTTGTCTTTGTTCATTTCTGAGGCTATTAAACTGAGCATGCTGTCCCACATTCCCTGGTGATCCAACAAAGCACTCAAGTGAAGACTGGGATTAGATGGAAAACCCTAACCTTAACATCATCCTGGGTTTAAACCAATTTTCAAAAGGAATTGGTTGGGAACAATATTGCCTGGCTGAGTTTTTACTGTTGTTGTTGTTTAGTTTTAGAGCAAATCTTGGTCTACCTTAGAGAAAAAAACTGGAAAAATGGGTGTCTAGCAGTAGGCTAATGATCAGTAAAAAAAGAAAAATACTAACTATCCTTTTGATGGCTAACATATTTACCTATATGAGATTATTCAGTCAACACTCCATCATAATTAATTTGTAACTGATCAATTACGCAGTTAAAAAATTTAACATGCTAAAGATGTATGAATGGCTTTTCAAAGTGAAAGAGATCCATAGGATTTCACTGATGAAGATGAGCCCCAAATTCCAAGACTTCCACTTGCCCAAAATAATAGGACAGAGGCAAGGCTCGGTCTCTGTCCATGACTACTGCTCTACCTCCCAATTTCAGCTCTGTCGTCACAAACTGGAAACCATGTTGTCCTCTCAACATTCAATCTCTGAAAACAAAACAACGTTTTTTCCAAAAGAGGGGGAAGTCTGCCATGGCTACTATCAGATACTGATATGCACTCTGCGCAAATGATTACTGATCACAACTGTGACTCAACTGCAAGAGCATGGTGGCAGTTATAATAATAAACCATCTTTGGTACTGCTGAACTCAAAGCTCTTTAAAAATGCAAAGGTCAAGATGAAGCATGAACCTGTGACTGTCACATTCTAACACTAACACTGTTTTACCTGAAATCAGCAGGAGAAATCAGAGATTGAACAAATTTGAAAATCTCAAGGACACAGACATAGTTAGTAGAATTTTAAAAATTACCATTGCTTAAATTCAAATAGTAAGAAAAATATGAACTACTGGTAGCCTGAACATGGAATGGTTTCAGAAAGATCTTTACAATGTTTACAATCCACCATTTAATTGGGGGGGAAAAAATGTTTTCTTTTTTTAAGAAACACACAGTTAAGTCTGCACGTGATTTTAAGAAAAGCTCGTAGAGAAACTGTTCTGATGGCTATTCAACCTGCTATTTAGGGGATTCAGAAAGAGGCAGCATGAATGGCATCAATATCTAGCTTGGCAGCCTATAAAAAGGGGTGTACAGGATGTTAGAATAGATATTGTTGTTTGATGACATTTGAATGCCCTTTAGGACCTGTAGACAGAAAGCAAAGCCACCTAACTGTCACAGCAGTGACTCTCAGGTTTCTCTATCACACAAGGGAACTGGACAGTTTCCAATCCCCATTGTAGACAGATTTGGCACAGAGAAGGAAAAAATCCTGGATTTGGTTGAGAAATCTTTGGAATCATATCTAAGCACAATCGGTATTCAACAAATATTTATCACTACTATGTGCCAGACACTGTTCAAGATGCCAAGGGTTTAGCAATGAAAAAAGGAGCCCACGCTCCTGCCCTCCTGGCGCTTACATTCTGGCAAAAGTAATATCATTC